TTTTGTATTTTTAGTACAGATGGGGGTCTCATCATGTTGCCCAGGTTGGTGTCAAACGCCTGGCCTCAAGTGACCCACCCGCCTCGGCCTCCCAAAATGCTGGGATTACAGGCGTGAGTCACGGTGCCCAGCCTCCACCACTTCAAAGTTGTACCCCACACCTGTTAAACTGTCAATCTAAACAGAAACCTTTTTTTTTTTTTTGAGACAGACCCTCACTCTGTCGCCCAGGCTGGAGTACGGTGGTGCCATCTTGGCTCACTGCAACCTCTGCCTTCCCGGTTCAAGTGATTCTCCTGCCTCAGCCCCCTGAGTAGCTGGGATTGCAAGCGCGACCCACTGTGCCCTGCCTAGAAACCATTTTCTAACCTGAAAAAATGTATTTAAAAAAACATGAGGAGTCAGGGGGCAGGGGAGTAAGGTCCACTTATGCAGTCTCATGTTCCTATGAGTGGATTTGGTCTTCAGGGGGAAACTAGACAAGCAGGAGACAAGATCACCCGGCCCTGGTGATCTCTTTCATTCTATTCATTTGCTTATTCACTCACTTGTTCAATCAGTAAGCATTTGTTAAAGACCTAGTATGTACCAGGCACTGTTCTAGGCACCTGGCACATAGCAGTGGGGGGAAAAATTCATGAAGCCTTTATTAAAGTGGAGACGTGGCCAGGCACAGTGGCTCAAACACCTGTAATCCCAGTACTTTTGGAGGCCAAGGTGGGCAGATCACCTGAGGTCAGGAGTTCCAGATCAGCCTAGCTAACATGGCGAAATCCCGTTTCTACTAAAAATGCAAGGATATTAGCCAGGTGTGGTAGCAGGCACCTGTAATCACAGCTACTCTGGTGGCTTAAACAGGAGAATCACTTGAATCCAGGAGACAGAGGTTGCAGTGAGCCGAGATAGTGCCCCTGCACTCCAAACTGAACGACAAAGCAAGACTCCATCTCAAAAAAATAAAATAAAATAAAGTAGAGGGGTGAGACAATAAACAACTGAATGGGTAAACGCATAACATGCCAGAAAATGCAAGATGCTATGATGAAGAGTAACGCAGAGCAAGAGGAAGGAGGCAAGTGTGTCTGTGTGCATATGTACATGAGCGTGCATGTACATGTGTGTGCACACTGTTGGGGACAGCATGGTCATAGAAGACCTCATGGAGAAGGCAACCTTGAGCAGAGACCAACAGGAAGTGAAGGAAAGAGCTACATCGATATTTGCAAGAATATTCCAGGCAGGAGGAAGATACAGTACAAAGGCCCTGAGGCAGAAGTGGGTTTGGTGTATTTGCAGAACTGCATGGAAGTCAGTGTGGCTGGAGGAGAGGAGAATGGGAGCCTATGGAGTCAGAGAGGCCACAGAGGGCCTAGTAGGTCATCAGACAGATTCAGGTTTTATAAGCTGTAAAGGGGGAGCCACTGGAGGGCCTGAGCAGAGAAGAGAAGTCATCTGACTTCCATTCAGAAAGAATCATTCTGGCTACTGTGTTGAGAAAATGTGGGCAGAAGCGGGGAGAAGAGATGGGAGACTAGAGTGATCATTGAGAAGAGAGGATGACTGGGACACGCAGTTGAGGTAGTGACCAAGGGGTAGCAACCACTCCACATATTCCCAAGCTAGAGCTGATGGGATTTGCTACTGGACTTGAATGAGGGATAAGAGGGAAAGACAGGAGCCAAGGATGACACCAAGGTTTGCGGCCCGAGCAGCAGTGGAGTTGCCATTGACTGTGACAGAGGACCCTGGGGAAAGACCATATTTGGGATAAGTCAGGAGTATTGTTTTGGACATACTAAACCGGAGGGAGCTAAGGAAAGAGCTCCCAAGGAGGGGAAGATCCCAACCGATCCAGTTGCAGAAAGATGTTCAGAACAGGGTTTTTTGTTTTTGTTTTTGACATGAAGTCTCACTCTTGTCACCCAGGCTGGAGTGCAATAGCACGATCTCGGCTCACTGCAACATCTGCCTCCTGGGTTCAAGTGATTCTCCTGCCTCAGCCTCCTGAGTAGCTGGGATTAGAGACACATGCCATCACACCTGGATAATATTTGTATTTTTAGTAAAGACAGACAGGATTTCACCATATTGGCCAGGCTGGTCTCAAACTCCTGACCTCAGGTGAATTCACCAACCTCGACCTCCCAAAGTGTTACAATCACGGGCATAAGGCAGCACTCCTGGAAGAACAGTTATTTTTTAATAGTCTATATGTATATTTTATTTTTCTATCCCAGATATTTTGCGTTAATTTTGTTGTTGCTTTTTGTTGCGGGGGCAGATACAGGTCCTTGCTATGTCACCCAGGCTGAGCACAGAGCAATCACAGCTCACTGCAACCTAGACTTTCTGAGATCAAGCAATCCTCCCACCTCAGCCTCCTGAGTAACTGAGACTACA